ACTGCCCTCCCTCCCCTGCCAGGTGGGAACAGGGAGAGCTCCAGCAGCCTTGGCCCCAGGGGGCAGAGCAGAAGGACCTCAGCCTGGCAGGAGGCCCTGAGAGGTGAGGGAGGCACGGGGGGAGCTGGGGGCCGGGGAGAAGGGCCGGGAGCCTGCAGTGGCACCAGCTGCACGTGAGGGTCTGTCCTGCAGTGGGTGGGTGGGTACGTGACACGTGGGGTTCCATTCTGCCATGGCATCACCCACATAACACTGGTTTGTGTTGTCTGCCCAGCGCAGTGGGAGCTGTGAGGTGCTCGGAGCTGCCGTTGCCTTTGCGAGTGCTCTAACGCGCAGCTGCTGCAGGTGGTTTAAATTCCCTCCACGAGTCGTCTCAGCGGGGTCATCTCTCCTCAGCACTGTCCTTTCGGCATCCATGCTAATAATGTTTTCTTTTACTGCCATCGGTAGCTCAGCTCTTCTGAAACAACTGTTAACAGTGCTGCTTTGGCTGTAGCAAGAACAGTACCTCCAAGGTGCAAATTCTTTCTCCTGATCTTCCCAAGGTTCGTATAGATTAAAGAAAAGGGTCACAGTCCAATCAAGACAACTCTTTCCAAGACTGCTGATCCAATGTTCTGAGTAAAGTTAGCCTCTCGAGTGTGATTATCCACGAATCCTACAGAATACAGGTATAATTGTACTTGTTTTCTGTCGTGGGACCGAGGCACTGGTAGTTCGAAATTAGCATTTGCCAGCAGAGAGCTGCAGGAAGAGCCGTGTGTGCTCCAGCAATAGGAAAATCAGTTACGCTGTGAAAACAAACTCCAGCTGCTTATGGCACTGTTTCTCCTCAGGTTTCAGTCCCAAAGCCTGCCTGGCAGAAAGCAGCGGTTAATATTCTGGATCAGAGCTCTCTGAGCTCTTCTTTAAAAAATCAGCTCCGCTGAAGTGGCTGGCACCCAGCAAGCTCTCTTAAATAATACCGAAAGGCTTTCCTGACAGCGGCAAGGTAACTGAAGTTTGCGTGCATCTTCCAATGTTCTGAGTAAAGTTAGCCTCTCGAGTGTGATTATCCACAAATCCTACAGAATACAGGTATAATTGTACTTGTTTTCTGTCGTGGGACCGAGGCACTGGTAGTTCGAAATTAGCATTTGCCAGCAGAGAGCTGCAGGAAGAGCCGTGTGTGCTCCAGCAATAGGAAAATCAGTTACGCTGTGAAAACAAACTCCAGCTGCTTATGGCACTGTTTCTCCTCAGGTTTCAGTCCCAAAGCCTGCCTGGCAGAAAGCAGCGGTTAATATTCTGGATCAGAGCTCTCTGAGCTCTTCTTTAAAAAAATCAGCTCGCTGAAAGTGGCTGTCACCAAGCAGCTCTCTTAAATTAATACCGAAAGGCTTTCCTGACAGCGGCAAGGTAACTGAAGTTTGCTGTGCATCTTCAGAGTCCATGCTTCTCTGAGGATGGCAGATAACTGTGTATTTTGGTTAATTAACCTTGTTAATGACCATAGTTTAATTCAAAGGAAAGGACTGGCTCCTTTGCTTTTGTTCTACTTGCATTTTCAATTCTATGTGATGCTCGTTTCCTGGATCACAAGGCATTTTATTTCCTTTTTCTCCTGTTGTTGCTACTCTTCTGTATTTTTTTTCCCATTGTGGTTCCTGCCCATTGCTTCTGGTTTCCA